TTTGACCTCTGCATGACGGCCATCATGTTTTGCTGATGCAAACTAGCCAGTTGATAAAGTCTTGTGAGCCCATAGCTAAATTTGATAACATATATAAGCTCTTAGAAGTATTTCCTTGAAAAATCCAAGTCCAAGTATCCACAGAGAGAATTTTGTCGCTTGGTTGTTGTGAAAAATCATTCCATTTACTTGCCCTGAAGCCGCAATTCCATAAAGAAACGTAGTCGATCGAGGAGTCAAAAAAGAGTCCATTTTGTAAGAGTCGTTTCGGTCTACTGGTAAGCTCCTTAAAATTTGACTTTTATTGGTTAAATCCCCACTTCAAAGGACCTCGAACGAAGACGGTTATTGGTGAGGTTCTTAGTCAAATTTTCACGGGTTAAAACACTTGCACTTTCAACAAGAGTTCATAGAAGCAGAATGCGACCCTCAAAATTTGGCATCAGATTCCATACGAAAGTCGCTTGAAGCAATCTTTTCAAAAAAACAGCAGTAATTATCAAAAATTTTATAAATAAAGTTCCTTCTCGATTTTCAGCCATTTCTCTCATCAGCAGTCACGCATCTGCATGCCCAGTTGGTATAGCGCATTCAATCTTCATTTAAATTAAATATAAACTTACTGACCGTGCCACCACAGAGTGAATTGAATTTGAAAAGGTGGGAAAGAAGTGTCACTTCTAGATCTAGTTTAGTCATTCCTAACCAACACCCCCAGCAGTTAGAAATGATTTATGAAGACGTATTTGAGTGTTGACAACCAATACGCGGGGTTGAATTTGAACCTTTTGACCAAGGGACACACGTGTCATTATAATGACCTATTTCGTGGTAAAATTGGCACACAAGAAGATTTTATTCATTGCTTCAAACCTTCAGTAAGATACAGTTGATTTTTCCAAATTTTAACCTCGAAACGGGAATATATTGCGATATACAAATAGGGTATTTCTATATGAGCAAACTATAATCCATTTATTTATTTCAAATGGCGGGCTTTATGATACTTATCCTTAGCCCTTAAGTTGACTTCGGGCTTCACAGAGGGGAGGAGGAACATCAAAGTGTGACAACTTCGAGGGGGGTGGGGGACAGAAGAGTGATTCAAAGATGTAAAAGAGACAGACAGAGTGACACAAAGACAGAGAAAATGTAGGATTTGTATGGTGGAAGTGATCGAATTGGACATGCAGTCGGGTCATGATAGTTTGAAGTCAGATGTCGAATGCCGGTTCAGAGACTTTTTGCCGTATGAGAATACGTTACCCGGGGTGCACCACGTGGAGATAAGTTTATCGCACACCCCACTATAATTCATAAACAAGTACTCTTTGCTTGCAAGCAGCGGAATTTAATGAAAATCATTTTAAAATCAGAAAGTTAAGAGGGTATATCAAAGTGTCTTCTGGATTTTCAAAATTACGAAGAAATTGAGAAATTCGACTGCATTTTGACTCTTAATATCACGCATTGAAGTCTGCTCCCAATCCTTTTTCTTGTTCATATACTCCCACTCATCCATTCCATCTAATCCATCTCAGTTGTTCAGTAGCCCCAGTGATAAAAAGCTGTGCTGCCTTTGTCACCTGTTTGCAATAGATAATTATAGATACGCTGAAGGCGGAAAGTAATTCTAGAAAGATGGAAAGGTGACAAGCGGAAATGCTGCATCTCATTATGCGTTACCATGTTCCTTTTAATGTTCTATCCCTACGTTCCATGCGATAAGGTTTATTTATCAGTTGCACCTGATCTATCTCTCTCCTCCCCCCCCCCTCCGCTCTCCACTGACTCAGATCCCCATTGTTCTGATCGACTGAAATAGGGTTCAAAATGAACTGGTTGCCGACTAATCCTGAGTTAACTTTCAAGGACTCAGTAATTTGCTAATTACTAGGTAAAGACAATAATATTATGAGTTCAGAGTTCAAAGATGGTAAGTCTCGTGATTTGCTGACTCGTGTCACTAATCCCTTTCCCATTCATTATGGTAAGACCCTTTTTTGATCATAAATTGTGCGCGTTTTAGTTATTTTAAGGATTATAATGGTAGCCAAGGTTACCATCAGGAGTGATATTGACTTATTTATTAACCATCTACACAAACATCCAACCATTCTTCAAACACCAGAAAAAAAATTAACTGCTGGGTTGTTTAATAATTTTAAATTCGATAAAATGGCGCACTTTTAATAGTGTCCTTCCTATCTACAAGTTCACTGCGATATTTAGCTCATTTCAACGCATTGGCTAGCCTAAAATGAAAAACAAATTATGGTAACAGGCAGCCCCAGATAACATTCTAATTTAAAATGAGTTAATATATAGCAATACCTCGGGTTTGGCATAAATTTTGACAAGATGTCGGAGCTCCTTATTTTGATTTTTCAGGCATTCGTTATCTTCTATCAAACGCGATCTCATTCTTAGAAGTTCCAAGTATTCTTGCAAGGCGCGTTTTAAAGCCGACCACATTTGTCTTTTTGTTTCTGGAGCGAAGGTACTTCTAACGCAATTTAGAAATCATTATTAAACCTCCTTATCATACCTTGAGTGAACTACAAGAATGTTGAAATCGACTCACTCATATTTCTGCAGATGAGCGGTGTCCGTTTCTAGGTCTGATAAAATTTCGCGCAGATAATGATCACAATTCAACTTGGTGACTTCACTTCTACCATTGAGGCCTTTTGACGCGTTAATAACCTCCGCGGTATTGGACGAACAGTTCTCAACAGCAAATTGATATAGAACTTTTGGAACATCTATGGGATCGATAAGCTTAACGACGCATTCCTCGATCTTTCCATCATCGGGCGTTTCTGTGCCATCGGATGCATCAGCATCATCAGTGTTACCTTGCAAGTAAAATGGAATAAATAATTGAATTTTGAGCATGAAAAATAGCCCTTTTTGTCGAGTTTTTATCCTCTCAATCGTGATTACTTTTTTTGCAGAAAACAATATATAAACATTTTTTACTTGATTCGGGCCACAATACTTCGGCCAATCTCAGATATGTACAGCTGACTTAAACCCAAGTGAACCGATAATTATCTCATATATATATATATATATATATATATAATGCTGACTGACTGTAGTGGGTCCACAGTCATTTATTCGAATCCATTCCAGTGCAATAAATTGATTTCAAAATTCTATATTGGCACTTTCAAGGGAATAAACTCCTTGTGAGGATCCTGGAAATGACTCATTGCCAAGTACAACAGGCCAAAAATGAAGCTTTCAAGAGTAGACTGATCTCTTCTACCAGGTACAAGACGTCTTCGCAGAGTCCTGCTTTACATGCCTTTGATAAGCGTTGAGCATAATCCAAATTCTATATTTAAAGCATGAAATGAAACACCGAATGACAACTAGACACGTTAGTAGGTGAATGAAACATATTACTGTGTCAAATGTTCAGTTGTTGGAAGGTTTTAAATGACGCAAAACTTGGTTATAGATTTCTGCTTATGCTTATCTAACCTGGGTCGATTTTTTTAACATTTATTCTGCATTTTACGGTAAATTCCTATACTTTTATTTTTTGGTATTGAAATAATGTATGCCCATTTATTAAAGGACTTCTTACTGCTGTGCATTAGGCATAATTCATCGATTTTACTGGTCAAAATGGGGTCGTTGATTGGACTTGAGTCGCATGCATTTGATTGGTTGTCGAGTTCGTTTGATTCTTCACCGTTGGAAGGCAGTAAAAAGTAAGTGAACAATTTGTCCAGTCTCTCTTCAGTAGTCACTTCAAGCATCTTAAAATTACAAATTTTTACAATTATTTTAACAATAAAGTGTTTTATCATAGTTATTTTTAACTTCAAAATTATGAGGGGGAAAGGAGTGTTTCGAATTACCGTGAGAATTAAATCCAGTCGAACTAATTTCTGATCCTCGAAAGCCATATCCCTCAATATCTTCTTGACCTTAGCTTCAATTAGGAATTCCTACAATTTAATATAGTTATAAGGACATGATTCAAAATGAAATTTAAAATCCTTGTTATGAAATAAAAAATATAATATGAATAGAAAATAGTTTAAACGTTTTGTAGTACATAGATTATCATTATAATTAATTAAAATTATATAATATTATATATATATATATATATATAATTATACAAATAATTATAATCATAATTAATCAATTGGGAATTGAAAATATAAGGAGTATTTGACCCACAGGTTCAAAAGCAAGCAATGTCAAAAACTCGTCCACAATTTCTTTGGAGGCTTCTTTCAGAGTTCGAGGCAAGGAACATTTCGTTGTCGATGATCTGTGTCTAAAAGGGATGCACCAAATGTATTTTATAAATATTACCTATTATATATATATATATATATATATATATATATATATATATATATATATATATATATATAGGTATGTATATATGTAAGCATTTCTTTAAGAATGTAGAGGAGATTAATATTATTATAATTCAATGGCAGAATTACTCATCATCTTCATTTTCTTTCATAACTCTTGCCGCCAGAGATGATTCTTTGCTTTCAATTGGAGATAAATCTTTGGGGCCATCTTCTTTCATAAAGGATCTGCAATATTTGAAGTCATTGCAATAATTCACGTGAACATGAAACCAGTTTGAAGAATCTTACGTATCGGGCTTTTCCCACGCCAATCCCAGTTGTCGTTCAGTGATAATTTTGTCAGCTTTCATTAGCTTAATTGCATATTTTCGTATTTCGTCTTCATTCATTTTCCATAATGCCCGATAGTTGTCCTCTTCGCTTTTTATCAGTATTCTGAATAAAACAAAGGATAATTTCAATCGTTTAAAGTTCCCATAATCCTACTACTGATTAACAATTAAGTAGCCCTCCTACTGTGACTTCCTTTGTAACTGCTTAAAGTTCTCCTTCATTCGCCTGTAGTCCTCGGAGAGTTCTGCATTCTCATTTCTATAAAGCCATGAGGAAACGTGAAATTAATACTTAAAACATGGCCATAGAGTATTTTGAACGTACTTTAAAGAGTCCTTGATATTCTTTGATTTAATCTTCAGTTTATTTAATTGGTCCTGAAGTTGAGTTATCTTGCGTTTTTGTTGGGCCAGTGTCAATTTATTCTCCTCATCTCGCCTTTTGAGAACTTGGAAATTATATTCCAGCTTCTCCAAATTTAATTGATATGTTGCTTTCGCTCTTATTAAATCAGTCCCCATATTCTGCGGGAAAAAATATAGTTAATTACCCAAACGTCGAGGTCTAACATAGGCACCATTTAACAGCTTTCACTTACCTGAACTTCAGTTGATAAGCGCAATTTCAGCTCATTGTACTCTTCAGAATGGTTAGTTCGCAATTTCAGAATTAAGTCTTCCAATTCCACTATTCGACGTTTACGTTCTTCTAGATAATCCAGTTGCTTTTTTCGAAGCTCTTTTATAAAGTCCTCCCAACTTCCATTCTGTTCATTTAGTAAATTATCACGATCTCGTAGAAAGGCTTTCTAAAATGGCAAACGCCTTTCGATTTGGTGCCGAAATTCTGTAGTCGCATTTGACAAATTTAACTTGAAAGCTGTAATTTGGCTGCATCTAATCTATCTCTGAATTATATTTATATCAAATGGCAGGCGTTTTGATGGTTATCATTAGCTATTTTGTTGACTTCAGGCTTCACAGAGGGAAGGAACGTCAAAGTGAAAATGTCGAGAGGGTGGAGGGGGGGGGAACAGAAGAATGTTCCAAAGATGTAAAAGAGAAGACTCAAAGGGAGAAAAAAAGGTGAGGTGAGTACTGTGGAGGTAATCGTATATGACATACAGTGGGGTGATGGTAGTTTGAAGCCTGAAGTCAACTGCCGAATAATAGACTTTTTTGCCGTATGAGAAGTGATAAGTCAACTGCCGAATAATAGACTTTTTTGCCGTATGAGTTTACGTTGCCCGGGGTGCACCACGTGGAGGTAAGTCTAACGCACACCCCGACTCTGAATTATTAAATTCAGTTTAAAAAGTACAAGGAATTGGACCCATCCCTTCCCATATTATCAATAAGGTTTTTCCGGCTTGATCTGTTTTTAGTTAACAAAGACATTTATATGCGAGACTTATTAAATTTCTATAGCGACCTTGATCTTATTGAAATTAAATTAAATATTTCCTTTTATATGATTAATAGGCGTGATAAAGCTTTAACTTTGAAGGAAGATTTCGCCAAATTCACCTCTATTTCCTTCAATTCGGTGCCGTAGGCATTTTGAACTGCCCTCATCTGCGCTTCCATTCGTTCAACCATCATGTCAACTTCATCCGTCCTCTTTTTAAGCTCCCCCACAAAATGATCGTCTTTCGCTTTCAATTCCTAGCAAAATAAGGTGAATATTAATATATACATATATATATATATATATATATATATATATAT